AACATGATCTTTACCTAATATCCTAATGATTTTTGGCATAAAAGAAAAATAGATAATTTTGACCCATACAATGTATTTTAGGCTATTGCTACAAAAATACCCGTGCTACTTATGACTGGTTTTGTGCTCCAGGGTCACGTATAAAGAAGTACGAGTGTAACGGTGTTATATTTTTATAGGCATTTAACTAAACTTTTTTACTAAACTAGACTTGAAACTTGGAGGGATGGTAGTACTCACACCACCTACAACGTGACCGAGGCTCACACCAATCGGCCTGACGGAGGCGCTACAGCGATTGAAAGTACGAAATCGCTCACAAAACGCACGCCTCAGATTCAATCGTGAGCCTGGCAAAATTTTCGGGTATTTCGCATTTTCTTTCAAAACCTACTTTTGCGAACTAGTCCTAGTTTTTTCGTCCGATCGTAACCAAACCAGTGCAGAAAGATTCTCTGGAGAGTGAATATCAATAATTATCAAAAAAAAGTTGAACTTTCGACTCACCGTCGCAAAGGGACGCCAAAACGTTCGGAGGGGGCAGGGACACTTTTAGTAAAATGCCTATAACTCCTGAACGGAATGAGATATCTTCGCCAAACTTGGAACAGTTATGTAAGAGCTCAAGCTGAGGTCACAGGAAAACAATCATGGGGATTGGCCACTTGCTGGCGCTATAAGAGGGAAGAAACATAAAAATGGCTATAACTAGGTAACCATTTGTCCTATCAACATGAAAATCGCTGTGCACGGTCTTGGTCCAAAGTGCCACAAGTGTCTATGGGGACATTTGCATATCTCAAAAAAAACATGGCCACCATTGGCCGATGAAGTTTGAGCACCTATTATTTTTGAAATTGAGCTTTCAATTGATGTATGGTTTGTTAGGATAGGACAATATTTGGCCGAGATACAGCTATTTGAAAATCTGGAATCAATCTGGAATGCAAAAAATCTAAATATTGAGAAAATCGCCTTTAAAGTTGTCCAAATTAAGTTCTTAGCAATGCATATTGCTTATCAAAAATTAAGTTTTGATATATTTACGGTACGAAATTTACAAAATATCTTCATGGAACATGATCTTTACTTAATATCCTAATGATTTTTGGCATAAAATAAAAATCGATAATTTTGACCCATACAATGTATTTTAGGCTATTGCCACAAAAATACCCGTGCTACTTATGGTCCAGGGTCACATATAAAGAAGTACGAGTGTAACGGTGTTATATTTTTAAGGGGCAAAGTTCTCAGAGTTGAAGAAACAGCCTGCAGAAAATACTGAAAGAAGTGTTTTACCATTCTCTCTGTGCTATTCTCAACTAAACACAATAGAGAAAGAAAAGTCTGATGAAGTTTTACTGCAATACAGACGGAAACGATTCGTTTCTCATTCAGAGAGAAAACTATTATCCTCACACTTTGAAGCGGAACACAGTTATTTTCTCCGGTGAGGAGATTGAGTGCAGTTGTTTTGTGTGCTTGTGTTTTTAGAGAGCTCAGGGTGCTCGTGGTCGAGATGGTTTTGGCCACTGACATGTCCTGCCACTTCCAGCAGGTCAAAGCCATGAAGAATTTCCTCCAGCAGCCCGAGGGGTGAGAAACCTTTACAACAAACATGCTTCACTGTTGTCTGTCACCTCCTGCCTCATCTGTGTCTCCCCAGAGCCAGATGTTATTGCTTAGAGTTTGCTCTTTCATAGCTGGAGAGACGTGATGGAGATGGATGTTTCTCAAGATGTTTCTTCTACTGTTTCTGTGGAGAAATAAAAATAGACAAATGATTCATACAATAAAATAAAATGAATGCAGCTTAACTGAATTAATTTGATTAGAAATTCTTATTGAGGAGTTCATATTGAGATCCTGTCTTTTGATTGCATACTTGATTACAAAATCTGAGCACAATTTGATGTGTTTTTTCTATCTCCTGAAACTAAAAGATTACTGTGGTATTTTTCTCAGAAGGAGCAGTTTTTAATGCAGGGACATGACACAAAAGTACATTTTATTGTCATGTGTCAGAAAAACACATATTTATCACCTATTGGTCTTAAATTCTTTTTTAAATATATAAATAATGTCTTCAAGCTTCAAATTTCATTCCCTCCCATTCATAATTTCTTACACAATTTTGCTTCTAAATGGTTTATTGATTTATTTATTTTTTAAAATATTTTCGCTGGAAAGCTAGAAACAAATACTGATCGAGATAAAATATAATTTTCCAATTAAAATATAATTCTATTTCCAATAAATCAAAGAAAATATTTGAAAAAATATGATTTTATATATATTTTTTTTCTTTGATTAATTGGAAATGTTTATCCTTAGCTATTGACTGTAACAAACTGTATTTTTTATTTTTTTTTATACATTTGTCTGTTTAATTTTAATGTTCAAATAAATGATGCTGGTTTTTGAGCTGTATCTGTCTTAAATTTTAGTAATAAACACTGTAATCCCCATAAATAAATAACTTTAATAAATAAAATTATATTATATTATATTATATTATATTATATTATATTATATTATATTATATTATATTATATTATATTATATTATATTATATTATATTATATTATATTATATTATATTATATTATATTATATTATATTATATTATATTATATTATATTATATTATATTATATTATATTATATTATATTATATTATATTATATTATATTATATTATATTATATTATATTATATTTATTATATTATATTGGCTCTCTGTTTTAATTTCATTGTCATGTGTTAGAGCAAACACATATTTATCAGTGGGATTGGTGTGTGTTTTCCTCAGAATTGACAAACCCAAGGCTCTGTCTCTGCTGTTACACACGGCTGACATCAGTCATCCAGCCAAGAACTGGGATCTACACCATCGCTGGACTACGTCACTGCTGGAGGAGTTTTTCCGACAGGTTCGACGCATTTTTGTTCTTTAGATGCGTTCAACGAGTGTTTACGTTTATATGTGTGTGTGAGAAGAGCAAAGCACAGCAAGAAAAATCTCATCTTCTTCTATGTATTTTAATCCTCTCTCTTCCTGTTCTCTTCTGATTGCCCTTTCATCCAATCACACGTAAGCCTGCGCCAGGATTATCACCGGCCACAGAAACGAGAGCGTGTGGAGAAGCGTGACATTCGAGCTTGTTTACACCTGATCATAAACCTCTGAAAATATTTGGCTTTCACAGCCCTATCGAATGCTGGTCCCAAAATTACGCTTTCGCACGATTATGTGACTTATCAGTGTGAACAGCACTTTGCTCTACTTTTAAACATCACAGCAATGTCACATGCATGTATTCTGTAATATTACTCATTTCACATACCTTGATTGTTCACATTTTGTTGTGTATTTGTGTGAAAACCTCACCAAATTATTTACGATTCATGCTTAAAACAAGAAAAAACTATTTCCCAAAGGAGTAAGCAAAACATGCTGAATTAGGGGTTCAAGCACGTAGCGCTGAAACCCTATTGTAATTGTTAGAATGATCACGGATGAGCGATTTCCACGTAAAACTGATCGTGCAGACCAAACCGTAAGTCGTAGAGACTTGAAACTTGGAGGGATGGTAGTACTCACACCGCCTACAACGTGACCGAGGCTCACCCCAATCGGCCTGACGGGGGCGCTACAGCAATCGAAAGTAAGAAATCGCTCACAAAACGCACGCCTCAGATTAAATCGTGAGCCTGGCGAAATTTTCGGGTATTTCGCATTTTTTTCAAAACCTACTTTTGCGAACTAGTCCTAGGTTTTTTGCCCAATCATAACCAAACCAGTGCAGAAAGATTCTCTGAAGAGTGAATATCAATAATTGTCAAAAAAAAGTTTAACTTTTGACTCACCGTCGCAAAGGGATGCCAAAACGTTCGGAGGGGGCAGGGCCACTTTTAGTAAAATGCCTATAACTCCTGAACGGAATGAGATATCTTCGCTAAACTTGGAACAGTTATGTAAGAGCTCAAGCTGAGGTCACAGGAAAAAAAATCATGGAGATTGGCCACTTGGTGGCGCTATAAGAGGGAAGAAACATAAAAATGGCTATAACTAGGTAACCTAGTTCATATCACTAGGTATAACTAGGTCCTATCAACATGAAAATCGCTGTGCACGGTCTTGGTCCAGAGTGCCACAAGTGTCTATGGGGACATTTGCGTATCTAAAAAAAAACATGGCCACCATTGGCCGATGAAGTTTGAGCACCTATTAGACAAGGTTAACGGAGGCCGATCGGAACAAAACTCGGTGGGCTTGTTTGACTCACGGCCCCAAAGATCTGTGAGAAATTTGAAATAAATCAGCCACTGGGGGGTGGTATCGCATTTTTTGAGGTCGTAAACGATTGTACATTGCGCGGTTTTCCGCACATAAACGCGATATTCATATCGTATGATAGACCTCCTTGTTCCAAACAGCTTTGCCTCTAGAACCACTGCTGGCAATCAAACCTTTTTTTTTAAATGATTGAGAAGATGTGAAAAACCTACTTTTGTGAACTAGTCCTAGGTTTTTCGCTCAATCTGGAAAAAAACACCGCAGTGCAATTCTCTGGACTCTCTAGGTCAATAATTATCAAAAACATGTCGAAATGTACCCTTTGGGAAGCTATAATGGGGTCCTTTAGAAAAGGGGCCTATCCAAATATGCCCCAAAGCCTATAAAGCCTCGAAAACTCAAAACTTCACGAAACCCGCTGAGCACATGCGACAGGTTATTCTAAACAAGCACGCACAGTTTCAGGGAGATCAGACCACAGCTGGCGCTATAACAGTCATAAACGTTATAAAAACATCATATTTCTATGGTAAATCACCTGGATTTGACAAAAATGCTTTTTTAATAATTGATTTAGGTGGTTACAGGCTTGCTAAATAATATGTAAAGTATTTTTCCTTATGTGCTTGAATACCTAAAGCGCTTGAACCCCAGTAATCGCTGCTTGCAGCTATATTTTAAAATGTATTTTCAGAAAAGTCTTTAATATCCTAAATCAGAATTTAAAATTCACTTTTCAAAAATGTGATCACTGAAAGTATCTTCAGTAGAACAGAAAGTCCTGAACGATTTTAAATTGTGGATGGAAAAACAGGAGATGCTTCTATTAAGTCTGTTTCACACTGCTGACTTAAAGGAATAGTTCGCCAAAAAAAAAAAAGAACATTAGCTGAAAATTTACTCACTCTCAGGCCATCCAATATGTAGATAAGTTTTTTTATGGGAACAGATTTGAATAAATGTAGCATTACATCACTTGCTCACCAATGGATCCTCTGCAGTGAATGGGTGCCGTCAGAATGAGAGTCCAAACAGCTGATAAAAACATCACAGTAATCCACAAGTAATCCACACCACTCCAGTCCATCAATAAATGTCTTGTGAAGTGAAAAGATGCATGTTTGTAAGAAACAAATACATCCATCATTAAGAGGTTTTTAACTTCAAACTGTTGCTTCCAGCTAAAATACGAGCCCTCTATCCATAATTTTGCTTTCTCCAGTGAAAAAAGTAATCTTGTCTGAATCAGGTGAGAAATATTTACAGATCAAGCACTGTTTACAAGCAAAAACAGTTCTAAACAAATATGATGTTAGATTTTGATGTGAGAGGAGGACAACAAGTGATGAACTTTTTTACTGGAGGAAGTATTATTATAGAATATGGACTGAAACAAAAAGTGATGGTTTAAAGTGAAAACGTCTTAATAATGGATTAGTTTATTACAAACATGCAGCTTACTTGTGGATTATTGTGATGTTTTTATCAGCTGTTTGAACTCTCATTTTGACGGCACCCATTCACTCCAGAGAATACATATATATAAATATATAAAATGTAGGTATGTATGTATTGATATTTTTTTTGGTTGAATGTTATCGATTATCAACACAGGCCCAGTGCACTAATGGGCTCCTCCTGTTTCTGTTGCTTTGTATAGTGAACAAAGGAAGGGAATTGCTTTCTCTGTATTACCTCATGTTCTTACCCATCATGTGTCTGTTTATCTGTTATTAAAGTGACTGTTATAAAGCACATTCACAGCTCTATTCTCCATAGAGTGGGCTACATAAATATGCTTTGATTGATTGACAGATGAGAGGACTGGAGCTATTCCTGTGTGTGTGTGTCTAGTATTGTTCCAGCAGCTGAACACTCCAGAAGACAGATCAATCGTGACAGGCCCAACATAAAAGCATGACAGTTTATTTTAGTCTGCCTTCAAGAAATGTTTGCGAATATTTCATATACGAAACAAATCTTTATAAACCAGATCCAGTGCAGCAAATGTCCATTAGTCGTGTCATTTCATAAGCATTTAGCTGTGGCAGTAAACCTCTATTAATAATTGTGCAATATATTTAGAAATGCCAAAATTGTCTCCTGAGAATAGTGTAATGTATTGTTATAGCAATGCAGCTGCATGATGTGTTTGTGTTTGCAGGGCGATAAGGAGGCAGAACTTGGTCTACCTTTCTCACCTTTGTGCGACCGTAAATCCACTATGGTGGCTCAGTCCCAGATCGGTGAGTGACACAAACACACTCTATGTATGGAGACAATTATATTGCAATATTGCAATTGGGTAATTGTGAATTGCGCTAAATTGTAATACTCATATTAAAGGAATAGGTCACCTCAAAATGAAAATTTGCTGAAAATTAACTCACCCCAGGCCATCCAAGGTGTAGATATGTTTGTTTCTTCATGGGAACAGATTTGGAGGAATTTTGCATTATATCACTTGCTCACCAATGGATCCTCTGCAGTGAATGGGTGCCGTCAGAATGAGAGACCGAACAGCTGATAAAAACATCACACAACTCCAGTCCGCCAATTAACGTATTGTGAAGTAAAAAGCTTCATGTTTGTGAGAAAAAAAAATCCATCAAGATGTTCTAACTTTAAACCATCGCTTTTGGCTAAAATATGAGTCCCTCATCCATAATAATGCTTTCTCTAGTGTAAAAGTCCATCTCACATTAAAATATACCGAAAAAACTGTTTTGGACAGTTTTTTTTTTCTTTGTAAACTGTGCTTGATCTGTGAAGATTTCTCTCCTGATTCAGATGAGACCATTTTTTTTCACTGGAGGAAGCAATATTATGGATAGAGGGGCTTGTATTTTAGCTGGAAGCAATTATTTGAAGTTAAAAACCTCTTATTGATGGATTTGTTTTTTACAAACATGCAGCTTTTGGCTTCATAAGATGTTAACTGATGGACTGGAGTGGTGTGGATTATTTGTGGATTACTTTGATTTTTATCAGCTGTTTGGACTCTCATTCTGACGGCACCCATTCACTGCAGAGGATCCATTGGTGAGCAACTGATGGAATGCTAATTTTCTCCAGATATGTTCCCATGAAGAAACATGGCTGGCCAGAGGGTGAATAAATCCTCAGCTAATTTGTGGGTAAACTATTCGAAACGGGGGAAAAAATGAGATTTCAGCTTTAAACTTGCAATAGTTGAAACACGTAGCTTTCTTGAAGATCATATGGGGATAATTTATTCTAATAGCTTCTTTAAAAATCAAGCTCAGTGCAAAAAATAAGCCATTTTTATTATTTCCCTCAGGTTTCATTGACTTCATCGTTGTTCCCACGTTTACGGTTCTGACGGACATGACCGAGAAGATCGTCACACCGCTCATCGAGGAGGCCACAAGTTCAGGCCTGGCTGGTTTCCGCAGGTCTGGAAGTCTGTCTTGCGTTTTTTGCTTCTCCAGTACAGGAATAGAGATAATGACTGGACATTAAGACAGACAAATTGAAGCTCAGGCCGCTCTAATAGTGCCTCGTGGCAAAGCTTGTCTTTGTATCGAATCCCAATTCACTGATGCTATTGCGGTCATGACTGCAAATCCAATTCAGTCCTGCTCAGATACCTCAGTTTCATCGTTTAGAGACAAAGAGTGAATGTGAATAAATGCGCTGCTGTTTCTTAGCCTTGTAATTCAGTAAAAAGTGATCCATCAGTTCAGACAGAAATCAGAGTGACTCTACTTTAACACTCTTTTAGCTTGCAAGTTTCTTTGGATTTTGTAAGTAGGAGTTGAATTGCTGCTGCTGACTGAGCATTAGAGCACCTTCTCACTTTTCGAAGCAAAAGCAAATAACGTCTTCTGCACACAAAGTGCTGAATTCTATGCCTTCCATTTAGAATATACAGTAAACTAAACCAGATCAAAGGTTCATAGACAGGACAGAGCAGCAGCAGCAGCATATTGATGATCAACAGAGCAGGAAAACAACAGAACCGTGTGGCTAGATGGAGTATTAAATGAAATGTAGGTAGATGTGCAGATGTTACGGAAGCCTAGTGGATGTGATGTGATTGCTGCCGATGCATTTGTAATGTGATTTGTGTCCCCATCATCTCAAACAGCATTACTACGGGAGATGCGAAGCGGAGCAGTGTGAACAGCTCTGGTTCTGATGGCAGTGGATCTCATAGCTGCTCGCTGCTCACTGTGGACCTGAAGAACTTCAAGGCCATCTGGAACGAAGAGGTTTCTCTGAACAGAGAGTGGTGGAAGACGCAGGCAGCTAAAGGTGTGAACAGAATGTTCCCTGCAAGAATGCATATGTTATGTATTGGTATGCAAAATAAAACATCCTCAAACAGGATTGTTTGCACATTGGAACTCAATGGCAACACAAAATTAGGAGATCTGAACTTATTGTTTCGGGAAAAAAAAGTTTCATTCGAGAATTGAGCCAAAGCAATTGAGAAAAACTGTAAGATAATTGTGTTTTATTTAGGAGAAAATACAAAATGTTAATTGAGCTGCAAATCAGAATGATTTCTGAAGGATCACGTGACACTGAAGACTGGATTAATGATGCTGAAAATGTTAAAATATATTTAAGTTGAAAATAGTTCTTTTAAATTGTAATACAATTTTACAATATTACTGTTTTAATGTCTTTTTGATTAAATAAATGCAGCCTTGGTGAGCAGAAGAGACTTTCAAAAAATCTTACTGAAACAAACTTTTGAATGGTAGTGTAATAAATTAGTATAAAATAAAACGTGAATTTGTTTCTCATTGATCTGAACAATCTTTTGATGTAAAAGCTTCTGCTTGAAATTAGTTATTGACAAATGTATTAATTTTGCCTCTGCATACATTTCTATCCATGACTAACATTTTAATTTAAAAAAATGTTTGAATGGAGTTGGATTGGATAGGAAAACTAACCATAAGTGTCCATGATGCATGTAAACTCCTTCAATAGTGTTTAAAAACCCAGGATGCACCTTGTGAATTTGGTTGTGAAAATGTTGAGATGAGAAGCACAAATTGAAGTATGGGAATTATTTCATAGTTTGATGACTTAAACTGGGAAAATAGTTCTGAACTGTTACAGTACATCCAAACTTAGTTTTGGATAGCATTTTGCACATTTTATGCATTCTGAGTAAGCAAATAGTGAATAATGCACCTCCTGCTGTGTCTCCAATCAGAGACGGAGGAGAAGGCCAAACGAGAGCAGGAGGAACAGCAGGAGGCAACAGCAGAAAACCAGGAGCACAAAAAAGACCCAGAGCTGTCGGGACCAAAGGAAGACAGGGGGGGAGAGGACGACCCGGAGCCAGGACGGGTAAATGGACCCCCAGAAGAAAGTCCCCATGACAAATCAAATAACGAAGAGGCACATCAGAACTTACAGAACGGTATTGTGTTCAGTGGTATACTTGTTACCATCAGCTCAGTTAATGTTGCTCAGGTGTAACTTTTAGTATTGACTGCCCTCTGGTGGATAATCAGAGGAGTAATAAGAATAATGCTATGTGCAGAATAGAGTAATAGTATACTGCTTAATGCATACTGTGCATTATATGCTCAGTACTCAATAATCACATAACCTTCTATCTATCTATCTATCTATCTATCTAGAGATAGATTTGTTTAAAAAAAAGTCACGTTAGAAATAGAAGGTTAATTAGTGCATTGTATTTTGGTATGCATGTGGTTATTCAGTGTATCCTGAGAATATGCATACTTGTGCACAGTACTATATATATATATTTATTTATACTATAGTATATATATATATATATACTATTTCATCATGGCTTTAAAAATCAATGTTTAATCTGTATTTTTTTCTAGTTTAAAAAGTATAATACAAAAAAGTAAAGGAATAAATGATAGTTTAATTGTTAAAGTTCATTTGTTTTTTGTTATTGAATATTTAGATTTTTTTATCAACAGCTAAAAAAATCTGTTAATGTTTTTTTGTATTTTTGATAGACAGTAAACATGTAAATTGTTTGTCTACTTTTCCTGTAACATTATCTAAACATCCTTAAAACAAGATCAATTTACTTGAAAAGCAAGCTTGTGCAAGATATGAATACTTGTTTTCAGATAACAGATCTTGTATATTTGTTTAGTTTTGTTTTCTTGTAGTCATGAATCTAAAACTCTTAAGTAAATAAATATTCTCTGAAAACCAGCCTTATTATCAGGTCCTATTATGCTTTTTCACTTTTTCAACTTTAGTTAGTCTGTGATGTTGCTGTTTGAGCATAAAAAAGATCTGCAAAGTTACAAAGCTCAAAGTCCAATTCAAAAGGAGATATTTTATTTAACAGAAATAACTTCTCAAAAACTACTATATATTTTTTTTTTTTAAGATTTATTTTTGCCGTTTATTACCTTTATTTTGATAGGACAGTCGGTTGGCAGGAAGCAAAGTGGGAGAGAGAGGGTGGCGGGATCAGGAAAGGTCAGCAAGCCGGGACTCGAACTCGGGATGCCCGAAGCGTAACGGCGCTAAATGTCGGCATGCTGCCCGCGAGGCTATCGCCACTGACACTTGTCTATATTTTGAAAAAGTAGTCAAAGTAGTATTGTAGTATGCCATTCTGAAAATGTTTTACGGTATTGCTACAGTGTGTGTGGTGATTTTTTTTGTTTTTTGTTTTTTTGTCTGTTCATCTCTAATAATCTGATGTCTGTAAACAGGAGAAGTGTCTGAAGAGGCAGAATCACCAGCAGATGAAGACAAGAGAACACTCGATGGTAAACACGTTTATTCTGTAACAGAGACTTCTGTTGCTGCTACTTACAGTGACACTAACAACATATTAGACAATTAATGTCTGAATGTTAATGCATCATATAATAAAATATCAAAACAAGTGGAATTTTTAAAGAAAGATAGAAAAACATTTCACAAAAATAAGCTTGTATAAGATACACTACGGTTCAAAAGTTTCAGCAAAGATGCATTAAAGTGACAGTAAAGATCTTTGTAATGTAACAAAAGAATTTTATTTCAAGTAAATGCTGTTCTTTTCAATTTTATGTTCATAAAAAATTCTGAAATATTACATATATTTCTACAACAATATGAAGCATCGGTTATAAGAATTTTTTCTTGAGAATCAAATCAGCATGATAGAATATTTTCTGAAGGATTATGTGACACTGAAGATGGGAGTAATGATGTTGAAAATTCAGATTTGCATGACAGGAATAAATTACATTTTTACTATATACTCAAACAGTTATTTTAAATTTTAATAATTTAATAAATTGCATTTTTCATCAAATAAATGCTGCCCTGTTGAGCATAAGAGACTTCTATTATATTTATAAAATTGTACCGACCCCAAATGTTTGAATGTTCAGAATGAAGACAAAGTATTTTGTACATTTGTATTTGTTTGTGGTTAGTTGATCATGTGGTTCCTCTGTTAGGACACTTGTGTGAATTTGTGGGGAACAAGATGTATACATCCACTAAAAATCACCAAAACACCAATTTTGACAATTGACATTTAACACAAGACATTGAGAATATAAAATGAATGAAGAAAAGCAACGTTAGTGCAGGAGCATCCAAGACATGCAGTTACTTGATAATGCAATGACATTCAGGCATAACTTTGTTGCTTTTTTTCCATGTCTGATGCAATCTTCTACTGATCTAAATGTCTTCAATCTGCATTTAACAGAAAGTGCAAATGCCTAGAGTGACTTCCAGTGGCGTCTTGAGGTCAGACACAGAGCGGTGAACTTGCCATCAGGAGAGCGCTCGGTTCTGAAGGACTACGGCGCCCTCTAGAGGACACGGCTAATGCTTAGTGTCCTGCCTCTATCCCCTCCAAATCTCCAGACTTTCATAAGGCTGACCTCTCTGAATGATGAAGGACAAAACGGACGAGAGACAACAGCTGCTTTTGTCTGGTCTGTTTTATTTACAGAACCAGATTTCCTTCCCAAACCTTTAAAGTGCAACGGTTGCATCCGCTAAGAAAAGCATGCAGCAGCTGAATGTAAGGATTCTTATTAAAACCTCCATTTAAAATGCTTTCTATGTTTTTCCACAGCCTTGCAGTAGGATCACTTGGTATGTGTGTAAAGTTCAAACTGTGATTTATATCTAAATATACTTATATATATATATATATATATATATTTATATATATATATAATATGTGGCCTGCAGTAAACTGTAAATAAGTAATCTTAGCAGCGGTTGCACCTGTGAACAATATTCGGCTTTTGACAACAGCGATGTTGTGTTCAGCTATTTGAAATGCACTCTTCCTGACATGGACTGATGCATTTCAGCAAACATGCTCCGACACACGTTTGTTCGCCTCATCTGCTATTAGAGGGCGCATATATGAAACCCTGAATATGTATATGTATTACTATTGTAAATGACTGTCTGCGTTTAGATCAAAGCTTTTATAACTTGAGAAAAGCCGTACGAAGTGGCAGTATTTCCTATTCGTGCACATCTGTGTGCGGCTGTGGAGTAGAAAACGCCTGATCCTAAGATTTTTCCTTCTCTCGCTTACCTTCGGATGCCTTTCTTCATGTAGTCTTTCTGAAAGCGAACCGGACTGAAACGTCTTCTACAGGAACACACAAACTAGCAGTCACCGTAGACGATGTAAGTCTTATAACTGACCATATAGTAGTGTGTAAGTCATAGCCATATCACTGTGCTCGCTCCGCAATACCTGTATATTACGCCGTATGTCATTTTTGCTGGTTTCCTGGGGGTTTGTGACAAGCTTTTCTCTGTCCTTTGAGCAGGTCATCTCAAGAAACCTGAAGAGAACATGTCCAGGTCATGTATCACTCTGAAGTCAAACATAAACAAATGTGATCCTGGAGCACAAAACCAGTCTTAAGTCGCTGGGGTATGTTTGTAGCAATAGCCATAAATACATTGTATGGGGGTCAAAATTATCGATTTTTCTTTTATGCTAAAAATCATTAGAATATTAAGTAAAGATCATGTTTCATGAAGATATTTTGTAAATTTCCTACCGTAAATATATCAAAACTTCAGTTTTGATTAGTAAGATGCATTGCTAAGGACTTCATTTGGACAACTTTAAAGGCAATTTTCTCAATATTTAGATTTTTTTGCACCCTCAGATTCCAGATTTTCAAATAGTTGTATCTCTGCCAAATATGGTCCTATCCTAACAAACCATACATCAGTGGAAAGCTTATTTATTCAGCTTTCAGATGATTTATAAATCTCAATTAAACAAAAAAATTGACTGGTTTTGTGGTCCAGGGTCACAAATAAGAAATTATATTTTTGCATGACGAAAAGAACCCAGTTTTTAGGACTATAAAGAATGTGGAATAGATTGTTAAAAATACTCAAATACAATGATTGCATTAGATAAATGAGCATAAATTGAAGGCCATAAAAACACACACACACACTGTTCAAAGGTTTGGGATCAGTACAATTTTTTTTATATAATAGAAGTCTCTTACGCTCACCAGGGCTGCATTTATGTGATGAAAAATGCAGTTAAAACAGTAATATTGTGAATTTTCTATTTTAGTACGTTTTTTTTTTTAATGTAATTTATTCCTGTGATGCAAAGCTGAATTTTCAGCATCATTACTCCAGTCTGCAGTGTCACATGATCCTTCAGAAATCATTATAAAATAACATTTAATTGAAATCAAAATCTTTTGTAACATTAGAAATGTCTTTACTGTCACTTATGATCTTGATTATGAATTTAATGCATTCTTGCTGAATAAAAGTTTAATTTCTGTTTAATTTCTTTAAAAAAAACTCACCTCAAACTTTTAAATAGTAGTGTACTATACCAAATATACAGTAGTGTACACACACACACACACACATTTGCAATCTTACAAATTTAATTGTTTTTTACATTCTAGTAATTCCGGGGGAAAAAATTGTTTTCATTTATTTTTATGTCAGTGGGAAAATGTGGTTAATTGTCATGAAAATAATGTAAGCATAAAATATGCTTCATAATCCAAAATATAGCTTCTGATTTATTTTCTGTTTGATTTCAGGGTTAAATGTGACCTGTAACATTTAAACCTGTTGATTTTTATGTTCAGCATTCAGGAGATAGTCTGTTAACTGAAACATTTAACTCTGTTCTTTCTTCTATTTATTTCATCTGTTTTGTTGTAAATATGGTTTCTCTGAATGAGTGAGTCTGAGGTGGGATGTGTGACTGGATAAACGCATGCATGCAGCGACTGGATGTGTTTTGTTTTCTGAGGGTGTGACATGAGTAAAGTTGAGCTTCTGAATTGTATTTTATTTATACAAAATCTGTACAATTCTGTATCTCATTTATGTATATTATTTACCAGAGTTATTCATGTAAAAAAATGTCTTCCCCCTTCCTCCCTCCATATTTTTGCACAGCAAAATTAATAACATTGTTTACCCAGACAAAATGCGAGTAAGTAATGGATATGCATTTCTTCTGAAATGAAGCAAATTGTAATTTGGTTATATGGGTCACATGATTTAGTTTACCTTCTTGTGGTTTACAGTAAAGCTTCCTGTAGATTCAGACTATTACCAGAGATCATGTGGCAGATGAATGTGACGGCATGTGCTGAGATGATGCTACAGCGTGTGTTTGTGTGTGAGAGAGAGAGTACGAGACTGTGTGTGTGTGTGTGTGTGTGTGTGTGTGAGAGTAAGTAATGGATGTGCATTTCTCCTGAGATGAAGCAAATATTAATTTTATTACATGGGTCACATGATTTAGTTTGCCTTGTGGTGTACAGTAAAGTTTCCTGTAGATTCAGACCACTTACTAGAGGTCATGGATGCTAAGCCTGTGTGTGTGTGTGTGTGTGTGTGTGTGTGTGTGTGTGTGTGAGCTGATCATGTTCAGTTTATAAAAGTTGACACTGTGATCTTTAGTGTCTAGCCGTCCCCATGATGTCTGTTTTTGAGCAGGACGCAGAGAAAGAGAAAATGCTCTGTGTCTGCACACGCGTGATTCACAATAAACATCAACTTAAAGGGCTCAGAACAAACGTGCTGCTGTTTTTGGGACTAAAGTGTGTGTGTGATTCGAGAAGAAAAAGGAATAGTTCCTCCATAAATCCTATTCAGTTATCATTTACTCTCCCTCATTTCATTTACAAACCCATATGACTTTCTTTTGTGCAACACACCTAAATTTAAGGTTTATATATTTGAATTATGTATTAAATTTCCATCCATTTGGATCACAGTTTAAACATAAACTAATAAACTTAATGTGATGCATATTTGTCAGTCATACATATGAAATGGGATAAGAAACAGGTAAGATTTCTGGCATAGTTTATTATTAACTATTTGCATCTATTTTAATATAATTAATCATATTCAGAATAGAATCAGCATAAATCTGTTTATTGTGAAAATTAAATTCATTCAGTTAAAAATGGATTTAGTGATGATAACTATATAAACCTGGTTATTTAAAACACATTCAGTTTATTAGTACCATTACAGTAATCTCAACTGTTTGATTTATGTGCAACTGACAATTATACATCACATTTAGTTTATTAGTTCATAAATGGATGGATATTGTATATGCAATTCAAAATAATATGTCTTAAATTTAGGCCTAAATATTTTTGAATGCAAAAGGCAAGATGTGTGTGCATATGTACCTCTTGCATATATATTGTATGGATTCAGAAGACTTGAAATATAGTGCACATGGACTACATTATGATGATTTTATAGCGTGTTGGTCCTTATTGGATCTAAGTGCTTTTATTTTATGGACAAGAGCAGCATGTACTTTCTACTAAACTTCTCCTTTTGTGTTCAACAGAATAAACAAAGTCATATGAGGAGGCTTGAGGTTGAGCAAATGATGAGGAATCAATTTAAAATTATTGTAACACTCCAAAGAGAAAGGAAAAATTGAAATCGCATCATATGACCCCTTTAATATTATGGTAATTGTGAAGATTGCGGCAAATTCTGCCACTAGGTGTCACTGTTATTATGAGAGAACTGATTTTCTCTAAAGAAGGTAATTCTTGCTGTACTACGTGCAGTATAGGCTACACTGATATATTATCCTCTCAATTTATGGAGAAGAGCAGCGTCAACCTCTATTTTTGTATTCCTCAGAAGAAATAAACCCATACAGGTTTGTGACTATTTGGTGAGTAAATGATGATGGGAAAAGGAATCCTCTTAACTAGTATTATTATTATTATTGTTAACAGTACTCAAACAAAATCTGCCACTAGGTGGCACTGTTAAATGAAGGAAAGTAGCATGGATGACCCCACATAAAATTCAGACAGTAAGACATTTCTTTGTATTAGATTTTCTTTTCTTTTCTTTTTTTTTCAAATAACTTTTCCTCATCATTTTTGTTCAATGACTTTTAATCCGCTGACGTTTTGATAGGGTTTTACCCTGATTTTAGTTGTTTTGTTCATTTTGAGCAGGCCTATCTTTTATCATTTGCAGCCAATTTTGTTATGTTTTACTTAAAGTGTTTTTGTTCCATCTTTCAAATAAATGTCACTTGCTTTTTTTATGTATCTAAGCCAATGACGGATATAAGTGAGGGCCGCTCATAAGACTGTCACTCTAGTTGTTCAATCTAGCAAGATGGAAATACTTATATATTAAATATTTCATGGTATTAAGAATAATTAAATATAAGACAATAATAGTGCAAAAATAACATCCATCTATAAATTAATAATGAAGTTTTGTGTATTTTTACGACTTGGAGCCCCCCTACAGTTAAAATGGTCATATGACGTTGCTAAAAAGAACATTATTTTGTGTATTTGTTCTTTGCGTGAACATTTGGGCGGCGTTATGCAAATCTTCCCACATCGTGACGTAGACATGTGGGGGCGTGTTAGAACGAGCCGTTTTAGGTAGGCGTGGTTGACTCTTAACTTTTATAAAGAATATCTCTTTGGATTTGAGACTTTAGTCTTTGCAACTTTACAGATCTTCTTTATGCGCCAAGAGCTTGTAACACTCCAAAGAGAAAGGAAAAATTGAAATCGCATCATATGACCCCTTTAAGTGAATGAAAAGGTGGAAAACAGTGGATAATTGTACACGTGCATTTGTGGCTGCCTTAAAG